AATCGCACTGCATGCAGTTATTAAAAGCCCCTCAGTCGCTGTTGCACTCGCAGTCGCTGCATCAGCCAGCTGCCAATGCAGTTGTGCGATCGCTGACAGCGCTTTTTATGCATATACACACACACACACATAACTGTATGCGCGATTATGTTAGTTTGCATGTGTGTACATACATACCTACATGTATGTATGTATGTACACATTTTCTTTTTATGCCCACTCGGCTGCTGGTGCTGCTGCCGTCGCTTGTCGTTTCGAATGTGTCGCCAAGACGCGCGCCTCCTGTAAACAAAACGCCGCTGACGATGATGTTGTTGTAGCTGCTGTTGTTGTTGTTGCCACCATCATTGCCCACTTGGATTTGTGGCAGGGGCACATGCAAAGCGATTGCGGCAAAATCGAAAATGAGAACACAAAATAAACAAATCATAAATCTGAGAAATACATACACAAATACAACACGTATCTGTGTGTGTGTTTGCATTCGCGGTTGCTGTGCGCCCGTACGTGACCACGACCACCCAAAAGATGTTGCCCATTTGCATCATTATGCGATGTATGTATGTATGTATGTACGAGTGTGTAGTGTGTTTGTAAACATATTGATGCATGTGCGTTGTTTTCCAAATGCATCATAAAAACCGCAAAAGTTGTCAACGCTTTATTTTAGGAGCATTTGGGTTAATTTCCCCGAGTATTTTGTGAACAGTTTTGAATTTTATGATGTGTCCAATTAGAAGAGCATAGATTCATAAATAGATATGTACAAGTATGGGTGTACCCATATACTTATGCACATATATACATTTATATATACATACATACATACAAATGAATGCAGGTGCACTATGAAGCGCAAAGGTTGTTAGCAAGAGGAGAAAATCTTGGATATAAATAAAAGGAAGTATGTACATATATGACTAAGTACCAGGCCCGTTGAGAGGAAATAATAATAACTTTTTTTCGAATTACCCGATGTGGGCAAACTGTTAATTCAACATGGATAATTATTTATTATTTACGTATGGAAAGTTCAGTTTGTTGAAAATAAAATAGTTTCGTGTTGCTTAGGGACTAGAAGAACCTGCACACCAAGTTTGGTCTGTCGTTTCCGAAATCCAAGCGTTGAACCATAAAGGCGGACATGTCTAAGTGGACTTCTCTCATCATGCGGATTTAAAATATTGTACTATACAAGTATATACATATTTTACAGGGTCGGAGATAGTTCCTTCTGTCTGCAGACTTTGCACAAACCTAATACTTATAGCTTTTGAATATAGGTTATAAAAAGTAAAAAGTGACTTACTTTACGTGTAAGTTCTTTTTTACTTTTTTTTATATGCGTGAAGATTATATTTTATGCATTTTATGTATACTTGCAGTATCTATTAAGGTACGGAGGCCTTTCGATTCTAATATAACTTTTGAAACCCGATTAAAAATTCGAGTCAATTCTTGCAAAAATTTCGTTAGGGAAGCCAAAGATTTCATTACAAGTATGTCTCGGTGATGCAAACTGCCATTTTGGTTCTCCGGCTGTTGCTTTTGTATAGAAATCTGTATTATTCTGTCATAAATACTTAAAATTATGCCACACTGAAGCCACTTGCGCCTTCCTGAGCAGCCACTTCTGGGCGTACAAAACATTCCATGGCATTCGAGCGAATTGTGTTCTAACTTTAGATGCGCCAGTTGTGTATTGCCTACAAAAACAACAATAGCAACAATAATAATAACAATTTTAGGAGCAGCAGTAACAATATCGCAACTGGGAGCATACACGTACTATATACTATATTGCGCCTGTCGTTGCGCAATTCTATTGTCAGCAGAAAACGAACTCAGAGCAGGCGTTGTGGGCGTCGAGATACGATCAACTGTGGAGATGCATCCAAGTAGTGGCTCTTTGTCATCCAATCTATTGGTGTGGGTGGGCAGGGTTTTGAATTACTAGCTGCCATGGAGAACTTGCGTTCAAAAGTGCAAAATAATCAAATGAAATCAGAACAAAGTTGCATCAAAAGATGCGAAATGGAATGGACGGCCACTTGTAAGTCCACAAATTTAATGCCGGGCGGTAATTAGGCTCATGCATCTGTATCTAGCAGCTACAATGGGTCATAAATTATGATTTGATATGCAGATGGGGCCGTTGCGAACTCTGCCGGAGTTCAGTTAATAATAATATTCATCTATTTTGTGGCCTCTTCAATTTCACTTTGCTGCCATCGTCGCGTCGTCGCGGTCGCGCAGCTGCTGTGCTTTTTCAATTTGAGGCGACTGTGAAAAACCGCAACGGCAGTGGCAGTGGCGGCGGCAGCACTACTATGCATCTTTTAGTTGTTCAACTTTGCCCCTTGCCCCTTGCCCCTGCACCCCTTTACATTTCAATGCGATGTTTTGCGGTGGTAATTGCACGCGCGCTGAAGCGTATCGTATGTTGCAGGTTTCCGTTCAAAACGGGAGAAACGACCTAAAATAGCGGCGAAACCAAATGCGGAACATGAGCCATAACATGGAAGTGCCAGTTGCCTATTCCCGTTCCCGTTTCCATTCCCATTCTCATTCTCATTCCCATTCCCGTGCAGCAGAAGCAGCAACAGTTCCATAGGCAGTCCCGTCAATTTTGTTCGCGACAGCTTCGTATGCACACGAAATGTACGTGTTGCTATCCAATAGATACAAAAAGGCACCCAGCAATACATTACACAGATACTCGACTACAGTGAACTATATTTGGAGAGGAATTATATTTGGAGAGGAAATTCAAAGGATCTACTTTTTTTAATTTTTGATTCTCGACACTGTTTTTACCCGCTTCAATACTTGGAAGCAGACCACGTAAAATACCGTTATACGCGTATATTCTTAAAATATAAAATAGATCTTAACATATTATGGATAATATCCATCAATTCCTCCTCGCTACAAAATATATTACAAATTTAGAAATGCACGATTTAAAACTATTTGAACTTAAATTTAGAAATGCTTTTATTTAAATTTGTTTGAATGTAAAGAATTTCGAGTTCATTTAGAAAATTACAGGTTATGTCTAAAAAATTGTCTAAAGATATTAAGGAATTGAAAATGATTTTTCAAAATGCAGATATCTTACTCCCTTTAAAAAAAGAAATTTGTCCTACGATTTTTTAATATATTCAAATACAATCAAAATAATAGGTATATACTTGAACATACTTTCACTTTTGACTTTGAAGTGATATTTATGTTTACTTATAATGGATTTAAATCGGCAAAAAAAAGAGAATCAATACATTTAAACATTAAACATTAATATACATTCTAAGTTATTTTGCTTTGATAATGAAAATTTGATTTATACAGCTTCCTCTCTTTTTGAGCATTTGAAATAGTAAGTAATGGTAAAAAAAATTGTTTATAGTGAGGTTCGGCTGTATCTATGGATGCAATAGATTGCTAGTATGGAGTAGCATGTGTGTGCGTTCGTCTGTGCGTTCCTTCTTTCACGCTTCTTGCACCGGTACTGGCCACTCTCATGTAAACATGTTCTTTGTCATGGTTGTTGCCACTGTTGGATCTGCCCCTGCCCCTGCCTCAAAGTCCGCTCTTGCCATCCCGGGCATTATGTATTTGTACTGCTATCTGTATCTGTGTTTCTGAGCCAAGTGCACAGTGGTGCACAGGCACTGCCTGACCCATGCCACCTCTCTCTGCCTCTTGGCCCATTTACGGTGCGCTAATTCCCAAACTCTGCCGCACACTACTCGCTCAGAATTTTGTTGGTAACCAAATACGCCATTAGGGCGAACTGGCAATAATTACTTTTCTCTCCATATCGTTGTAGGCATCTGTGTGGAGGGCCTGTGTGTTACAAATGTGCATTTCGTAATGCTGAAAAGCTCTTTTTTCGGGCGCCAACGGAGGCACTGATTGGTGTTGCAGTGCTCTTTGTGATTGCAACTTGTGCAACTTATTTAATGTGATGTGCCTTTTGTGTGTGGCAAGCACAGAAAAATATTCAACAAAATGGAACGATACCAAAAAAGTGTAGTAATACTACTTTGTCCAAATCCAACCAAGAATGCTTTTTCGTCATTTGGAAATCGCCAAACAAAACAAAAGAAAATCCCAGTTCCAGTCGAGCAAGCCCGACACTGAAATCCCAAAACAAATAAAACTTCTGTCGGCGTATTATCAATATAAGATAAGAAACTTAGTGGCGAGGGTAATACTGCAACTGGCGATATATCTGATATGAATGGTGTATCGAAAGAACTATTCCTATTACTATTAATATAGACCTTACTACAGCCAATCAAAAGCGGAACTATAAGTGTTATATTAGGGTAGAGTGCTGATCTAATGCGCGACTAAATTGTGATAATATGGTCGTATGGCAGAATAAAACAGAATAAGTAGAAGAGGGATATACATTCTCCATCCTATGTATAAGCTTTATTTATACATTTAAAATAAGCCAAAATCATGCATTGCTTTTCTGCATTGGGACTTAATGTTCAAAAGGGAAAATAAAAGAGAGAGCCTTTCCTGAAAATACTCCGAATGTGGTTATCAAAAGCTATTCAGTCAATTATATACGTGTACGTATACATATCTGAACAGTATATAAAAATTAAGATGGTTGTGAAATAACACCCTTTTATTTTAAAAATCATTTTTAAAATTATAAATTATATCTAGACTCCTGAAAAGTATTGGATAGGCTTGAAACGCGACTCAAATTGTAAGTCAATAAATTTGAATTCATTCGCGCCGACTGTTTTTAATTTGTCACTCCACACGTCATTATATATAAGTAGTGTGTACATAAATCGTTTTGTATCTTTCATGTGGAGAGCAGCAAAGCCGCCACTGCTGCCACAACTTTCCCACCGAAAGCAACCCGAGCAGAACTATTCGGTTTTGGTTGTTTTCTCTCGCTTCGAGCTTGTTGATAAAATGCAGCAAATAAATTTTAAAATAATGTGTAAATTTCTTTTGGCTCGTTTCAGCATCAACACAAAGACCGAACCGGCCCCTCCGGGAAAGCGACAAGGCTAGTCCAAGACAAATTGTCAACGACGGGCAAGTGAACGATACACACATGAGTTTTTATAAGCTCCCCTTCCCCTTGTAGCTTATTGTATGAGGAGCCGATGAAATACGCGAAAAGTAAATATTTGTGCGCGTTGAAAAAATTCATTGAAAAAACTTGTGGGGTGTGGAAAAATCACAGCTGATTGCTGAGAGGCCTTTGAAGTAGCCAGCAAATAAAGTGAAATGAAATATTGCGCAAGTGGCAACGCTTGATGCGTTTTGATTGAAGCAAAAATACATCGGCTTATTGATAAATGTTATTTAATTAAGAAATACACAACAATTGTATAACTCAAACGAACGTCAAAGTGTCAAAAAAATAATAAACAAGAAGCAGCAGCCCCACAACCAGCAACCAGTACCAGCAACAACAACAAACAACAACAACAACAGATGCAAAGCGGCTACTCAAGCTAATTGATTTTTGTTGCTGTTTTGCACGAATACCAATGCAATGAGCCGTTCAAAAGCTGTCCGTGTATATAATGCGACAAAAACAACAATAACGACGAGAGCAACAACAACAACAACTATTAGCAACGCATTTGACTTGCAAGAAAATACGAAAAAACAGCAACAACAAGGGCAAGTGCCGCTCACTAACTGCGTGCGTTTCGTGCGCGTTTTTTGTCGTTAGCGCGCGCGCGCGTTTTTTAATTAATTTTAAGTGTCGTTTTGCTTCTACGTTTTTTTTTTTTGGTTTAACCTTCCTCTTTGTCGTTGCCGTCGCTGCTGTTGTTGTAATTGCGCGCCCTTTTTTCGGTGCTTTTGGGCTGACTAGCCGGAAATCAGCAATTTAATTTACAATACAACTCGGCCCCGGGCCAAGGAGCTGTTCGGCATAAGACATAAAAAGGAAGCGAGGCAGCGAGGAAAACGCATCAAAATGTTCGCAGGCATAAGAAAACGCCTGGCACGCAAGTAAGTGTATCCCCTATACTTTATACACCATCTCCTCTACCACTGTCACTTGCCCCAATTCCACAACTTGTTGTCAACTGCCTTGGCCAGCGCTTTATATGAATACTCGTACTTTTTCTGTTCTTCTCTTCTTTTTTTGTAATTCTTTATCAACGTTGCCTTTTTACTCGCCAGCGCATCACGCTCTTAACTTTCGTTAATGACTTGCGCGATAAAGGTCAATGGGGACTTAGGCTGAGCCCCGATGGCCACCTATCCACTCCCCCGGCCACTGTTCTTCAATTGCACACGAAGGGGAAAAATCAGAGCGCAGCAAAAATACAATCCAAGAAGCTTTTGTTTAATTAAATTCGTTGCTAAGCTCAGCCCGCTTAAGTCTCTTCGAATGTCAAACCCCATTCCATTCAAAAGCCATTTGACATTGGGGCAAATGAATTCGCTGATTTGAGAAATTTTGCACGTTTCTGCAGCCGCAAGACACAGAGCTTATATTCATTCATCATCGTCAGCGTCATCATCATTATGATTATAGTAATTTTTCATTTCTCAAATGAGCCAATTAGCTTAAAATCTTTATTATTAGCTGACCACAAACCGGTTTCTTACATTCATAAACAAAATTGAATTATACCACAAATTTCTGCAACCAAAACGTTTTTGGCTTCAACTGCCCATGGCTCTTGAGCCTAACCAGCGGCAAAATGCTCAAACTTAAGTTGTTGCCGACCTCTTTTGAGGGGAAAACTAACTTACGGCAATCAAAACCTCATCTGCCAAATGATTATGGCTGGACTCTGGTGTACACAACCTAATATTTTCGTGGGAAATTATGAAAGGTACGCGCAAGAGTAGCCCACCATGCAGAAAATGTGAGCTCGAATCTTGGTTAGAAAGTTGTGATGTTTTTCTTTTACAGCTTGATTTAATTATAGAGTCTTTCTATATACAAGTATTCTATTCCACAAACATGGATTTTTTGACATACCGGTATAATACGTTGCATATCTTTAGGAATGGACCACAGAAAAAACAAATGTAATGATTGGCGTCTAAAAATAATGCGGAATTTGAAATTTTAACAACAAAATAGTATGTATTCTAGCGGGGAAAAGCTATGGGGACAGACTTTCTCATTTGCATGCCCATAGTCCAACAATATTTAGCATTAATTTAGATTAGTTTCGTCAGCAGATATGGATTTATTCTACTTATCTTCTGCCGAGTTCAATATTATAATGTTGTTGTATGTATATAGTTATGCCCAGTTAAAAGTTGTATGTGTACATCCACTTATTTCTAGTTTATATTTGACAAGAAAATTGTATCTGCTACGTTGCTAGCTATGCTTCTACTCTGAACCAAAGGAAGAATAAATAAAATAAATACAATATATTTGGAAACCTCTGAACGGTTCGGAAATGCTTTTAAAAGCCATTGAAAATATAAAAAAGAATTTTAAAATATAATAAAATGAATGCCCCAAAACAAGTAGACAAAAGAGTAAGAATTCTGTGGTATTGTAATACAAGAAACCGAAAAACTACATATAAGTATTTGTAAAGGTGTATTGAAAATTAATTCCGTGACTCCAATTTAAAACATATCACATTGATAAAAATATTCGACTTCCTATAAAAATACCAATTAAATAAATAATATATTTAAGTTCGAAGGCAGTTGAAATTATCTTAATTTTATTTAATTGCTTTTGATTTTCCGAACTTTGATCCCACATTTTTGGGTTAAACAAATAGTGATTAAAGTTTTTAAATGTGATGGTACGCGTTCTTTAAAAGCAAAAGCTTATAATAAGTGCTTGAAATCGTGCCTCCTGTCCCCCATCCCTGTGCCATACTTTCGGAATACAAGTAAAACATAATTCATGTTTGTGGCTTATGCCAGCGACTTAGATGTCTTAGTCCACTGTTGCTTTGCCTCCCATAGCCCACAACCATTATTCAGACACGAGTACCTGGTGCTTTCATCGCACAAAGTCTTTTGGCCCGCAGTTGCCAGTTGAAAGTTGGTTTTATGTGGAAAAATGACAAACATGAGTTTTCACTGTCATCGTCGCCGTTTGACACGTAGCCGGGGAGGGGGCGAACATTCTTTTTGTTGTTGTTGTTCACAAGTCATGATGTGCTAATTATTAGTGAGCAGTGCAGCCAAAATGCCTTTTAGCACTTAACGTTGATGCCACGCCCCGCCCTGTCCCAGTGGGGAGCCAGCAGCTGACTTAGACTCCGACATGATAAATAATGGCCGAAACATTTTAGGCTCAGGTGCTAAACACACCTGTGCAAATAGAAACCAAAAACTTTTCTGTCGAGCTGCTCAGTTTTCAAGCGAGCAGCAAACACATTTCTAATACTACATGATGTTGCATTGTGGCCAAAGACCTAAACAATGCGGCCCACACACTCAACTTTTCAAGAACTGAATTAACAGCAACAATTGAAAACACACACACACACACTCACGCAATATGTGGCAATCAAGCGCGACTAAAGCTAAAAATAATTACTCATACGCATAAAAGCATAGCACACTTTATTAAACATAAAAAATGTATGAAAGAATAAAAAAACAAGAATGGAAACGCCAAGTGCATGTGGCACAGAACGTGGAGGCCTTCGAGCCGTTCCAGCCACCGACAATCCCAATTGTGTGAGCGTTCCGAATTCATGGAAGCAAACAACCATTTCGGCAACCAAAATATGATGAATTCTCACGCACATAAAAATTGAAGCCAAATAGATTTATGGACGCTGGTTGCTTGACTACAAACAGAGGGGGGCGTGGCAGTGAAAAGCTCAATTCATGCTCTTGCTGTTACTGTTGCTGTTACTGCAGTTGAAAGTTTGCCTTCAACTTCACATTGTATCTGCGTCATGTACTATAATTACACGCCTAAACGTATCTGATATATGTATGTATAAAATGTATCCAAACACATACAGATACACTCATTTATTGCACGCTTAATTATGATTGATGCACATGCACACACTTTCTGCCACATTCCACATCTACTTGTACTTGGAAGTCTAGATCATGACGCTTTTGTTTTCTGTATTCTGTTTTTGGTTTTGCTGCCGCTACAGAAACGCCCAGCGGCTGTTTTATAAGTACATACGTATTGTTCTCATTTTCCGCTTTTCCGCAGCGCCAGCTCCAGCTCCAGCTCATTGTTCTGCGATTGTTGTGAACTTATCAAATGTATCTTTTACATAAAAGCGGTACAACAACAACAACAACTACAGCAATAATAGTAGTAGCTACACAAAACATTTCCAGCATTGCACGACGTTTGCCGCCGAACATGTGCCACTTACATAGTTTTTCTTTATGGGTTAAAGGAAATGTGATGCAACCAAACATGAGGGCCACACGTACTCGAACATACGCGCTTACAGTTAACCCAAGGCATGAACTAGTGTGTGGCAGGCAGTTAATAACCTCGCGCCAATTTCGAGCTTAGATTACAGTAGCCGAAATGGGTATTATACTTATAGTACGAGTAGTACGGCTATAACCACATGAAATTCTACGCGATTGCGGCTGCCTGCCATTAGCGGAAATAGGCGACTCTTGATATGAGCTCTGCAACTGTTGCAACATTTCTTACAGCCCTAGGGTGCCGCAATGCCATTTGATAGTAGCGAGCAATATCGAGCGCTCTCCCGCACACTGCACTCCACTTTTGATAAAATTAACAATCAGTGAAGGCAGAGAGGCGGAGCTCACTCAATAGCTATATAGCATGGATTTCTGTCGACTTTGAAAGTTATTTTTGTTAAGTTTTCGTTAAAGTTGGCTCGCATTTCTTGCATGCTTCTCTTTTGTTTTTTGTTAGTTTATCTGCCTGTCAACATTTTGCAATGTTCCTTCAAAATACGAAACTACTGCAGCTGCACAATTCTTAATAGTCAAGTTTAGGGAAATATATGTATGTCCTAGCATAAGTCATTAGATACAAAATTTTAAACTTTCTTTGAGCATGCAATTAGTTGGAGATTAGGCCAACTTGTCTACATATTTAATTTGGACCAATGCCAACCTCGTTTAATACAGAAGTTTTTATATTAAATTAAATAAATGCAAAATTTCAAAAATTAGTTGCTTGAACAGTCACGAAACAGAAACAAATATGTTTAGAGAGCATACATATGTCAGAATATATATTATACCTGTTTCAGATTGTAAATTGGCATTAAAGGAAGCTTATTTACATTTTGTTAGAATGTCTCAAGGAATAACTAGCTTTAATTGGTAGCTTCTAAATATATGTTTTCAAGCTGGTCAATTATTGAGAATTCATTGAAAGGAGTGCAAACAGAAAATTGCCTTAATATGTACTTATTTATTTATTTGTTTATTTTATTTATTTATTTTACTTATTTTATTTATTTATTTATTTATTTATTTATTTCAATTATGTTATTTATTTTATATATTTTAATATTTTATTTATTTTAATTGATTTTATTTATTTATTTTGTTTATTTTCATTATTTCATTTTTTTATTTATTTTTTATTTATTTCCTTTATTTTATTTTATTTATTTTGTTTCTTTATTCATTTAGTTATTTCATCGACAAACAAATTTATTTTGTTTCTTTTATTTATTTATTTTAATTATTTGATATATTTTATTTATTTCATTTAGTTATTTCATCGACAAACAAAGCCGTCCATCTAAAAACTACAAAAAGTTAATGCAATAGACTTTCAAACTTCAACTAAATAAAACTCGGAAGATATTTTACAAAGCACTAGCTCTATGTGCGCTTTTGAGCGACCTGAGCAATATGCCTCGATGACAAATATTGAGCCATTAAGGTCGTGAAACTCACATTATAATAAAGAAATGGCGCACAATGCTCTTTGCTCGTATTTGCTAAGCCGCCAGGGACTGAACTTTATGGTGGAAAACATCGTTTGAGAGCAGGCCCATCAGCTACAGATGCACAGATATGGCACACATATCATATAGTAG